TAATTATTAGCAGAAAGCCATATATTTATACAAACACTAGATGGAAAAGAACCCCTATTTTGTCAGTAAATATTCTATTCAATAGTTAAAAAAACTTTAAAACTTAAAAAGGAAAAGGTTTACTTACTTAAAATTACCTGGAAACCTAGAACCAGTAATAAGCCTCACTTCAGTAATGTGAGACAGAGGTTGGTATGAGATTTGGGGGTAGAAAATTTGAGGGGGAGGAGGTTGCTTCTGACTTCATGCTCTATAACTTCTGCATACTGGGGAAAGCCAGGGTTCTGGTCAACTGACAGACAGTATAATGAAATTAAAATAGGTACTCAATGGAAACACTAAGAAAATGTTAAATGTTAATATACACTTTATTAACTTGTGATTCCTCCTTTGTTCATTAGATCCATGTATTTAAAGATCTCAGATTGGTACTTATATTGTTGTGATAGTGCTATGGATTAAGACACTCTTCTGGGATTCTGTATTTTCCCTGGCACTGAAAGGAAAGATTTTGTGGCAACTCAGACTGTTTATCACAGTGTCTATAGTGGAAAAGATGGCTGTATCTCACCCATATAATAATCATTGCATATATTTTTGTCTCTGGAGTCTCCCTCATGAATAGATAAAGATACTTATTAATCTTTCACCTCCTTACATTAAACTGATTAATAATTGAAAACATTTTAGAATTATTTAGAATATATAGAATTGTGTGTATACATAAATTTAGAACTATTTAGCATACATATGTACATCAAAAAGACACTGACACTAATGTAGGTATGATAATTTATAGCTTATTAGTTTTATCTTAACAAAACACATCTCATGCTTTAGGCTTCTTTTCCTCTTACATCTGTGGTTTTATTGTAAGCAGAATAACACTATTTTTGAGAAAGAAAAATATCGAAATTGTAATTAGAAAGTGGTTATGGATAACAGAATAGAGAATATAATACTAATAACACATTCAAAAAAAAAAGTGGTCTGAACTTTGGCAGCTTATGGTTCTAATTTGATAAATCTTTCTGAAATGTGAAAGAAATAGCACATAGGGATATACATAAAAAATAATGACACCCAAGCAACGCTCATGCTTCTTTTTAATCTTGATAAAGGACATGTATCAATTGTCTGGTTGTCAAAATCTTTTCAGCTCATTATTTCTACAGGATTTTCAGCCAAACTTGGTCAAGTTAGTACAAGACCTTTTCGCTCAGATACATCTGTGCAAGCTTATTAAAAAAGTTTGCTGCTTTTCTGTTTTCAGAGATGAAATGAGTGCATCAGCATCTTGCAATTGCCACAGCTCTCACATATCAAACAGTCTTAGACTCCTGACATGATATTTCCAAGATGATGATAGCTACAAACATCCTACTCAAAATTGATTAGAACTGAACAGTTTGAGGGCAGTTCAGAAACAAGCCATCTGATGGTCAAGGAGAAAAGCACTGCAAGGCAGCATCAGTGTACAAGTCACAAGAAATGAGAAACAGAGCTGACTCAGCAAGCCATAAATGATCTTTCCAAACCCCAAAGGTAATTGAAGGCAAAATAGTCCTGTGTGTCACTAACCAGTCTCTCTCTCTCTAGCTAAAGGGAGGAAATACTTGATAGTGTTTAAGAGCCACTTCTAAGGATGTCCTCTAACAGAGAATACTTTGCAGTATTCATTAATTTGGTATTACACAAAATAGTATATTGTATATACTTTTTAGTTTGTCGTCACAGTATGCACTGCATTTCATACATTGTAGTTTCCACTTATGCATCATTTCTGGTAGAGGTAGTAAAATATGAGTCATATATACTACCCTAACTGAGCTACTCTGATGGTCAACAGACAATATAAACATCATCACTGTGGTTGCCTGATGTGGGGCTGGACATGAAGCAGCTGAAGAGATGAGTGAGATATTTATGTTGGGTATCTGGAGGTTATCCAGCTGCCCCCATCGACAAAAGCTTATCATCTGTCACAATATCATGGCTGCTCTTCTCTCCCCTACTGGTGATTACCAAAAATGAGTGAAAAATAGATAGAGCAACTCTAAACATATGTTCTTATAGAGCCATACAGTTTATCCTGTTATTGAAGCCAGCAGAAGTTTTAAAAATATTACTCAGCAAGGACTGGATTATCAATACCTCTCACAACCATCCACTAAAAAAGTTTAAATTCAATTTATTTGAAGACTTTTATGTTGGTAGCAATACAAGTAACTAATAGATATTGCATAGGATATTTCATATCTGATTGCTTGCTTAGCCAGGAAAAACAACAACTTTCTAACTTTAAGTCCTTTACATAGACCATTAACTAAGACTGTGTTGGACATCAGCATGTAACACCACACTCAGATGTGAGCTCTGATGAGAAGTATCTGGAATGCTCCCAGAATCACAGCTCTGATTCCTGTAATTTGCTGTAATTATATGAAGAAACTCTTCCCTTGTAATGCAAGTCAGTAAATCTCAGATGAGAGGAAATCTTTTCATACTCCAACTCCAGTCGCAGCAGCAGCTGTTTTGCCACGTGAGTACCCCCGCTAGAAATAAACTAATAATCCAGAGCAACTCTGGCATCAATGACAGCATCAATTTTTATAGAGGAAAATGTGAAATTGCTTACAGCGAAGAGTCACTCAAGCTAGAAAAATTCACTACTTGGAATCCTACACTATAAATAAATAAAATTATATGGAGGATGTAACCCACAAATAATCTAATAGAAACACAACTGTCTTGAGAGAAAAATAATGCAGAAATGAGCACACCTTGGTAACAGTGAAAATGTGGATATAGAAATTCAACATTAAAAACACAAAGATAATCTGCAGAAAGATCCCAAAGTGTTTCTGAAAGAGGTGTAACAAAATTGATGGAAGCAACAGAAAGAAAAAAGGTGAAGAGAGAATTTCTTATCTTGATACAGGTATACTCAGGATAACAACAAAAAAAATAATTAAGAGTAGTACTTAGATAGCAATAAGGAAAGCATTACTTTTTTAATCAAAATATGGTTCATTTTGTTGCCTAAAGATCTGGGGGAAAAAAACTCCAGGCAAATTTAGTATGGATAAGAGAGAGAGTAGGTCTTTAATGAAGGCCTTCTGGCACAAGGAGTACAAAAGGTGCATGCACTATGTCCAGTGATTCTACAATTTTATAGTATTAACCATCCAATCCCAGAACTATCTGCCCACCAGATCCTCCCCAAATCTGCCCCTCTAGCACGCCTCCCCAGAATTGAATCAGAGATCCCAAGACCCCTTTCTTTCTCATCTTCACCTCCTTCACAGCACATACTGTCTTTGGAGCTTCTCCAAGGTGCCAGGCTTGAAGGTTGCTTTGACTATGATAGTATCTTATTGTTTAGGCCTGAGAAAAAAAAGGCTGAGAAAAAACAACCCCACAAGCCCTCACAAAGAAGTTCAACAAAGAGTTCAACAAGATTGTTTCATACAATATTTAGAGAGAGCTGTTTGCAAGGGTCCAGGTGATGCTGTTAGCTGCTGCTGAGTGGAGGACTGTGCCCAATTATTGCCTTTAAAACAGTATTTTGAGAGGGTATGTGAATTTTTTTTTATTATTATTTTCTTTTTTTTTTTCCCAGGTCTGTGGGCTTTTTTTTTTTTTTTTTTTGGTTTTGGGATAGTTGTTTGGGGGCTGGAAGGAGGGGTTGGTAGGTGTTTGTAAGACTAAGCAAACAGACACAGAGAAGCAAAAATATGTAATGAGAAACTGAAATTGTGTGTTGCTCTGGTTTTGTGTGACACTACTAAATAAGAGGGTCCATTGTGTTTAAATTGTTTATAACTTTTCATGCTGAATCCTAAAGAAAATACTAATTTCCTTTTTTACATGATCTTGCGTCTCAAAAGGGGATTGTCACACTGCATCAAGAACTGTGTTTGCGGGGCAACTTATTTGCTGACAGGAACGAAACCACAACTGTAACAATGTCTATTGATGGACTAAGAGAGCAAGTTCAATGATATTTATTTACATTACTGCACAGATAAGGCCAGCTATTCTGAGAAACAAGTTACATAATCTTCCAAGGAGTGGGAAAGGATATATGCATTTACATCACGGACTATAGTTTCTGTCACAATCCATGAGAATTTCCCAAGTTTGAAATCAGCTTGCTACACCACATCCAAGCTGTAACAAATAAAATCAAGAAGTCAGGAGTAGCTGTAAGAAAGAAGAGTAGCAGATATGAAATGCTGATTTATCAGGATTGAGAATACCATTTATTTTATTGTTAATAAGGTATCGTGTAGCTGCTTTTTTTTTTTTCTTCTCATCATAAAGCAGTGTTTAAACAAGGTTCAGCACTCCATGCTCAGTGTGGAGAGACACCAGGACATGGAAGATCCACCTTCCCTCAGTGCCGGGCTGAGCTCAGCCACGCTGGTCCTGCGCTTCACCGCCTCAGACAGCACCCTCACAGAGCATCAGCTGCCCTCATCCATGGGATTTTGGAACAGGTTTTTTCACCCATTAAGTGCTCGAAAGCATGTTTAACCCTGCGGCTTTTACAGTATTTCCACTTCAACCTGCAACAGCAGGATTCAGGAGCACTTCACAAGAAGCACGCTACAGGAAGAGCGAGAAAGGCTCATCCCGCTACTGCTGCAACAACAAGCAACTGCTAGAAATAAAACATCCAAGATTAACGATTTTTATCCCCTGGTCTTGCTGTTCAATAACCAGCCGCCTTCGCCCCACCCCGTTCCTCCAGCAGCGCGGCGCTTCCCGACGCTCCGCCGGGCGCGGGCGGGGCCGTGTACGCGCGGCGCGCGCGCTGTGACGCGGCGCTCGGGACGCGCCAATGGGAGGCGGCGGCGGCGGGGTTTGAACGGCGCGTGGGGGTGTCCGGGCGCGCGGGGCCGGCGGTGCCGCTGCGGAGCCCCCCGGGCCGAGCCGCCCGCCCGCCTGCGGGGCCGGGCCCGGAGTCGCAGCGCTGGGACACAGAGATCCGGGCACAGCCGCCGGTCCTTTTGCGGGCCTTGCCGCCTCCGCCGGGGGCTCGGGCGCCCGCGGCCAGTCGGCAGTCGGTTCCCGGCGGCGCCCCCGCCTCCCCGAGCAGGTACGGCTCGGGGTAGTGGGAACGCTCTGTCTGCGGGGTTAAGGGGAGCGGGGGGCTGGGAGAAACCCCCGTGGCCCGGGATGCCCCGCGATGCCGGTGTTTAAAAGCCCTCGGCGCGGCCCTGGTCGCGGGCACAGTGTTTTGCAGTTCAGACAATGCAGCGGCCGCGCTGCAGAAATTGTGGTGAGAATGGGCCCAGCTGCGCGTCTTTCTGTGTTTGCGTGTCTCTGCTCTGTGTGTGTGTACGTCCGCTTAAAACTGCCGCAAGCTTTACTCGTGTGTCTCCGTCTTTTTTCTTTTTGCGCTGGGTTCTTCGTGGGTTCTTCACCTTTTCTGTTTTTAAAGGTAGAAGATGACAGAATACTCGAGAAAGTCCTTCAAGGACAGTCTGAGAGGCATAAAACAGCGTATGAGAGAGAAAAGAAATCAGAAATGGGCAAGGCTGGGTAAAACTATCCAGTTCTCCACCGTAAAGGCCAAAAGAGCAAGTAAGATGCTTAAATATCTTAATATTTGTAATGTATTTGTTTTCTTTTAAAAGCCAGTTAAAACGCTCACTGTTCTGTTGCAGCCAACAGCTCCTGCAAAATGAAGATCATTCAAGCAAACAACAGAGATCTAGCTCTGTCTTTGCAAGAAGAAAAGCTCAAACTGAGGGAAGCCGAAGCTACCATTCTTCAGTTAAGGAAAGATTATCACAATTTGAAGGCTCAGATGTTTGACTTGCAAAGAAATCATAGGTTCCAGCAAGAAAAAAGACTTGCGGAGGTATTTTTAATAATAACTTTATGAGTTGGTGAAACAAAGTATCAGAATCTGAACCAATCCACTGACAGATGTCTTTACAATCTTAAATGTGTCATAAAAAATTAACTCAGTATATGCACCAAGTTTTCTTAGTGTTTTCACCTAACCTAGTGTGCTGGTTTGGACATCATGACACCTGGTAATTAACTATTTTGTTGTTGCTACTCTTTCTTATTTACTTAAAATCTATCTTCTGTGAAATTTATGGGGTTTTTATCACATGTGAAGGCACCTGACAAAAGGTTTCTTCTTTTAGTTATCTTGTAATGCCAATAAGAAGTTTGTAGTTGATACTAGAGTATGACAGTAACAGTCACTGTCCTTCTTTTGTCCATTAGAATCAACTGGCAGCCTTGAATGAGATAATTTCCAAAGTCTCTCAGAATTTACTGGACTCAATTGATCTCCTTGGCCCAGCAAAGAATTTGTGTTCCATAGACATGGTAAGTACCTTTTCCTCTTGAGGAGCAGGACTTCTGTTAATTATTCCCCTCACTTGTTCCGCCATAGATGCACATAGTTTTGAGATTCAAGCCTTAGTTTAGAGGATGGACTAGTCCTACAGTTCCCAGTATGCCGCAGGGTGCACACTTTGGGGGGGTGCCATTACACTGTGAGTGGGACTGAGGCTCTGATAGGAGGTGGTTGGGGCACTCTGATTTTCTGGAGTTTTGTGCACAGTTCTTTTCCCTGTCCGGTCTTTATAGGGTTGGGCTGGTGATGTGTGTGCTGATGTGCAGAAGCTCAGTATGTGACATCCCACAGCACTTGGTGTTAACCACCCAGAAAGAAAAAGACCCAAGGGCCTCTTTGGTCCTTCACTGGGTAACTTGGCTGTTGTCTAAAATTTGTAGATGGTGCAAGCTTGTTTTAGTTATTTAGTCACGGTAAGATTTATTTTGTTGACAGAATCAAAGAGTGCTTTCTTCAGGTCCTGAAAACAGTTGCTGCAGTGTCACAGGACCAATAGGTTCAACGTAAGTATATTTTATCAATGCTATGTTTATGTTTGAAAACTCTGTTACAGTAAGTTTAATTTTCTGTCTGGAAGAAGGGAAGAAACCCAGTGTAATTAAATTGTTCCTTGTCATAAAATATATTGCTGTTCAGTAAATACTGTGTTTGGTATTTTCTCTAGAAGGCCTCTGCAGTGTGCTTATGGAGATGATCCAGTGCTTCCAAGTAGGACAGAAGACAGTAGTGATAGAAATTCTTGGTCAAAGACCTGTGTGGAATCTGACAGTGACATTTCCTTAACCAAAATAATTCCAAAAAAAGGTAACTGAATCAAAGTATCAAACACTGCTCTGCTCTGAATTAGGAACAAAAGTGTGAGTACAAGTTTAAAATGTAACTGCTGCTTTTGAAGGAACTGACAGGTAACTTTCTACTTACTGTCATAAGGGGGAGATATTAATGCTGGCAACTGGTAAAATGTTTGAATGAAGATGCCCAGCAAAATCAGGAGGAATGTGAAACTTTTCTTCCCTATACCTGCAATCCAGTTTCATTAACTACCAAACAGTTCAACCAAATAAAATCACTGTTAGACATGCATTAGCATTTATGAAAGCAATAAAAATTTGTTAACAAAGCAAACCACTCAGGGAAAAAAATGACCTGTAGATAACCTTTCCAAAAGGAACAGTTTAGAGGAAAATACTAATGCTGCATGCCTAATGGCTTTCTGCATGGAAACTATTAAACTTGATTTCCAAATCCTAGTGTATACAAATCTGTGGAGAAAACCCAAAGACTAGTCTGAATTTTTGACAGTTTTGGAATTTCTTGCACAAAACCTTAACATGGTGTTACTGTTAATTTAATATGACATTTTCTCTTTGATTGTAAGGATGGAGTTTTGATATTCATCTGGACAACATAGAATCAGAACTGCAAAACATTTCTTCAAATGGAAAGGTTGGATTTGGTAGGGTGTTACCAAAAAATGTGTCCACCAGACGTTGCTTTTCAAAGACAAGAAACCTCAATGGAATTTGCACTGGTGTCTTGGACCACTCAGAAGCACCTGATTCAATAGAAAAACTTTCTGAAGAGAAAGAAATTAGGCTTGAGGAAAGTCTAGAGGAGTGTGCTACAGAAAATGTAAATGCTGAACATCTAGAGGAGCGTGCTACAGAAAATGTAAATGCCGAAAGTCCAGAGGAGTGTGCTACAGACAATGTAAATGCAGCTATTTCTCACTTGAATGAAAGCAAGGTAGATTCAGAGCAGGGGTTGAGGCCGAGAAATTCTGAAACTGCACAGTTCAACTTAAAACATAATTCTAATCTTAAACAATCTGAGTGTAAAAGCAGAGAAAACTCTCAAGGAAGGAAAGAGAAGCACCAGAAGAGAGTACTGAAACAGCCTAAAAATACTTCCCAACAAGGACCAGGAAAACAGGATAAAGAGGCTTCCAAAAAAAAGCTGAATTTCTTGGGTGGCATCAGTGATGCTTATGACTTTCATTTGGAAGAGAGTGTCCATGTTACACCTTTTCGACAAAACAAGGTGAATGACAGAGATACTGCTGTGGATGACACAGAAGACTCAGATGAAACTGATTCCATGGAGTCGAGCGATACTGAAGATGATTCAGACGACAGTCTCTATGAGCCTTACAAGAGTAAATCAAAGAAAAGGCGAAGTTCAGCAGACAATAATGCTACATCGCCAATCCATCCAAGGCCAAGGTCTAAAAGATGTTTGGCACAGTGTGAGCAGAAATTCTGTCATGAAGAAGAGACTGAAAACAACAAATCAAGTGACAAGTCTATTAGTAAGTGTGGAAAGTGTTCTGGAATTGGCTTTGTTTCCTTGGAAGATAACATTGTTTAAGCGGTTAAGGCTTTTATATTTTAGGGTTTTTATTCAATAACAACAAACAGAATAATGTTATAAGAATGGTTAGATTTGTTCTGTCTGCCTTTTATTTTCACTTGGCAGATATTAGAATTAAAGATATGTTTTTAAGAAATTGGCCAGCAAATTAATATTTTGCTAGAGCTATGTTAATGATACATTAAAGCTGGAAAAAGTGAGCAAGATATAAATTGAGAGAGAAGTGGAATAACAAATGACACTTTGCATGGCCCTGCTCAGTGTTATTTATTTTTCCAAATTAAAATCCTGAATCTGTGTTTTTCCTCTTAAGTATTTTAAAGTGCAAAAATGGAGATGATAGTGACAGCTGAGATTTAGTTCACATCTTGTATGTTCACTGACATTTTCTTTTAAGCTGATTTGCGTGAATGATCTGAAGTGTGCCTAATTTCTTCACAGGGCAGCCTTCTGAGCCACCTCGTGGGCATCTCTGTGATGTTACCAATACCACTGCATTGCTCCCCAGCACTGAGGATGCAGCACCTGTCCCAGAAGGAGAAGGACCCCGGTCTCCAAAACGCAAGCGAAGCTGTACTGTTACCGTGAGCTATAAAGAACCAAGTCTTACAGGGTAGGTATCTTTACTTTCCAATTTAAAATAAAGTTCATGATATTCCATCCACTGGAGGATCTGAGAGGCTTATTTAAATCTTGAAAATAAGTCCTTTAACAAAAGACCTTATTCAAAGAGATCTGGAGTTAATAATACAGCCTAGTTCATGTGAAAGGGAACTTACTAGCTAAAAGTTATCGTTTTAAGTAATGTAGGGAGCAGAACTCAGTTTTTGCCTTTTTTTTTCTTTTTTTTTTTTTCTTTTTCCTAAGCAGGAAGCTCAGGAGAGGAGATCCATTTACAGATACACAGTTCCTGACGTCTCCAATTTTCAAGACGAAGAAAAAATGCTAAATGATGTTCTCCTAAGAATGAATCTCCGAAAAAAGACAATGAGAAATTGGTTACCTGTCATTTGAGATTTTCAGCAAAACCATGCTCATGCCATGAGGAAAGGAAATCTTTCATCCAAATTGCTGTTGCACAATACCTTATATAAGTATGTGAATATTTGTGTATCTAATATTAAGGATATCAGATTAAGGAGGTATAAATTTAATCTAGTGACTTGTTTTTAATGATACAGATCAATTACTTTTATAACTGAAATTATTACATTCAAGCTCTTTTTGACTGGATCTGGGAGTGTATGAGAAATCTGATGGATAAGATGCTGAATGTCATGTTATGACTTGTAGTCAGTAAGGCTGAACTTTAGGCACTTGAGATGTTTTGTGTAGGAAGGCTTTTTAATAACAGTTTTTGTACAGATGTTGTTTATGTAGTGGTTGTAGTTTCATATTGAATCTTTATAATAAATGTCTTAGTGTTTGGAAGCAGCTCAGAGCGGGTTGGTGGTTTTTTTGCAGTTTCCTTATGTGCTCCAAGGGCAGTAACATCAGCAGTGGGCGTTAGAGGCTTATGTACTCTCCCCATCTCACGTGGTGACATAAGCACTGTTTAGAAGCGTGATTGTCAGTTGTAGTTTGATTCTGTAGCTGCAACTTTCAAAAGCAGCAACTTAGGCTTGGTTGGTCCTGCTCTGAGTGCAAGCTAGAATCAACTTAACCAGACAGAAACAAAGCGAATTTCTCCATGAAGGTTGGTGAAGAGGGCTCTGCTTTGGTGGAATGTAAAGCAAACTATTAGTCTCAGCTGTTCTGGGACTATCATAATAATTTATTAATTTATAATAATTTTGTCCCTGCTTTGCCAAGTGCCTTTTGAAGAGGAAGAGCTGCCCCATCTGAGCTGGTGCTATTTGGTGCCACAACAGGCTGCATGTGAGAACACTGTTATCAACTGTTTAGCACAAAACTGCTTTTTCTTTGCTTGAGAAACACTTAAGTGTTTCTTAAGTTTTGTGTTTGTTTTTTTTAATTGGATTGAAAGCATTTGAAGAATTGAAGTGATGAAACTGTAGGGAAGGAATCAGTCCAGATTACCTAATCTCTACTGCTATCTCTAGAAGTGTTCAGGAAAACAAATGAGTCTCTTTTGACCACCCTCTGAATAGTGCACTTTTACATGATGTGACACAGGACCAAAATTTGAGTTGATGGGAAACCAAAAAACCTCTTCGTACTCTCTAATAACCTGTCAGGTATCAGACAGGTGCAAGGTTTATTTATGGCATGCAAAGTAAGTGACCATCTCAGTAACATCATGGTGACAGTACAAGCTCAACCTGGACTGCTACATATATTGTGTCTTGTGAGTAAAGGGGTCTCATAAGCAAATATAAGCAAATAGTATAAGCATGCATAGAGGTGAAAAAATCAAAACTTGGGAACAGCTAAGTCAAGGAAGTATTGGAAGTGTTGAGGAGATGGGAATAACAGCACTGTATCTCAATGTGGAGCTGGGAATGGTACTTGGACTGGTCACAGCTCAGCTTATCCTGACAGCACTCTTGTAGATCCGTTGTGCTCCCTTGTGAGACTGCCTCACTGTGTACATTTGTACCACAAGTACTCATTAATGAAAAAAAGAGACCAAAATAAGTAGGGTTTTGTACATATATAATTTAAAACTATTCTGTACCAGTACAATATATTAATTTGACAAATGTAAAGTTCATCAGCTGTTAAAGCATTTGCAAAACCACATATTCTACCATAACTTTATTGCACAGTATCTAAGAAAATATTAATTCTTAAATTAGAAAACACATGTTTCAATATAGAAGAGACAATCTGATTGAAAGACAATAAGAAAATCTACTCTGAAAATAAAAAAAATTCACAGGATACCAAGCTTAACATGTGCATCTGTAGGCCCAATCTACAAAACAGGTTTATAGCGTCCTGTTCTGGCTATTAAAAAAAAGTACTCACTGTACCTTTGTTATAGATCTCAATGTAGGTCAAACTAATCTCATACAAAAGAGGATGGCAAGTCCAGCGTTAACATTTCGAATACCTTGGGTACCACACTTGCTACTACCAGGTAGTTCCTGACAACTACTTGCTGAATTGACTTGTGATCTAACACTGCACAGGCATTTTGCAGGAATAGACTCTTTGACACAGTACAGGACTGGGGTTTTTTCAGTCTTATAGCTATTGAATTTTACCAGTGTAACATCTGTAAATATAAAACATCAAGAATGGAAGTTAAATCTGTTTTTCACAAAAGCAATTATAATTTACAGTTACAAACTCCAATTAGAAAACATAAGGGACAGGTTTTTGGCCTGTACTGATCTCCATTAAGGAGTTAGGTGTACCCCTTAAATGTAGTGTAAGCAGCAAAATACGTATATATACACATATATAATATATATATATATGTGTGCTCTACTTGAAGATATACTAACATGAGTTGTAAAATGTTAATATGTTCCTGGGTCTAAATAATTACGGTTAATAAGCATTTACAATAAAGCTTGGTAGAAAATCCAGTTTACCGTGGAGCCAAGTATCTAAGCTCAAAGCTGTCCTATGTTGACTTCTTTTGTGTACAATAGTCTTATCTCTGCTGAATAATCTAAAGAATTTAACAGTGAAGAGTAGTAAGTAGGGTGGATCATGAAGTGCATCAAAACCTTAACTCTACTAAACCAACTGAAATTGTCTAGTAGATGAGAAGTAGTCTTTAAAGTTATTTTGGGTACTTATGTCCTGCATAAGCCAAGTCACTATGACATCAAACACCTAGCCAGATTTGGTTGTTTTTAAAAGAGTGGTTATGAGATTACAATTTGCAGGTAAAATATTTATCAAAACTGAAAACTAATAGAAAAACTTGCATCTATCAAAGTTTACAGGCAGTCCTTTCTCAGAACTGACTGTTCTCTCACAGCTTTTCAACCAGCTGTTTCTTTTAAAAAATAATATCTTATAAAAAGATTCTACAAAGAAACAAGTGTTTCAGACCCCCCCCAACTGTTGTTTTCCCTTACAATTTTCTTTTTTACTGGAAAAAAAATAATAAAACTATATCAAATAGGTACTGCATTAGGTAAGTTATAACATCTGTTGTCTGGGAATTTTCTTCATCTTCCCAAATATGTGCAACTTCCCCCATGTTTGTGGGGTTTCTGAGGCTGTAGCTGATAAACGTATTAGGAACATACGGTAATCGGCACACAAAAGAAATTTTCCGTAATTAAATACATTATAAAGCATTTTAATAAAATAATTTCTGTAACTTCAGTATAATACATGTTTTCAAAACTAAAAGGGTTTTTAAAAGTGCTAAGTATTAAACAGAAGTTTCTTGAAAGTCCCACAACTCATATATAGAACAGCTTCCCCTGCCCATAACGTAGGCACGCTATTTGGTTGTAAAAAAGACTGTCATTTGTCAATTAATCCAGCTTCTTTAATTTTTGTGTAGAAGAATTTCTCCAGTATATTGGCACATTTGTAGTATTCACTCTCAGGGGGGTTGTACTCTCTGCAGTTTGTAAAGACTCGCTGCAAGTCTGCCATGAATAATTTCTTAGACACGTAGTACCTGTTCTTGAGTCGCTCACTCATTGTTTTGAGATCTGTACAGAAGAAAAACAGATTAACAGCATTTGATTCAAATAGTTTTTGTATGCAATATCCCTTTAGACTGATTTGCCATTTAACATGAACTGGCAAAGCTAGGATTTGGAATGGAAATTGCCTTCATCTAAGGCATGGTCCATTTTTTAGCTTCAAAAGCAGCTGAGCCGCTGGAACTAAGCAATATTTCACTGTAAGGATGAATTTATGTAGAGTTTATTTTTATTTCTTTAAAACATTAAAGCATAATTTCTTTTCTGTTCTCAGAGCTCTGAGTTTTCCATGGGTACTAGGTGTCCCTAACGCTCTTCTAACTGCTCTGTGAGGCAAACTGTTCTCAGCTCTGCTGGAGAAGGCCTTAGGAGTATAGGCAAAGAATTAAAACATCACAAAACACGTATGTTAACCTAAAATCCTCACTGCTGTGTGAACACAGCAGAGAAGAGACATTGGTCTATACTACAAGCAGTACTTGCAGCTTTGAAAAAAAAGATTAAATTTGTTCTACACTCTACATATATTTTTATTACCTCTTAAAAGTTTATAGTTATGTTTTCTTTTCAAGAGTCATGTCAGAACAAATCTCTCCTGCTTTCAGAGCATCATGCAAAACATTTACTTACAGAACATTCTTTAAGTGTTCTCCTTTATACGAAAATCAGTCATCCATAAAATATGTAAATCATCTCAGTGTTCGCCAGACAGTTGCTTTACCAGTCATTCTCATCAGGCATTTAAAAATTTTGTCTATGTTACAAGTGTTCTAGGAGTGAGTACAGGAATAGAAGTAGTGGGAGGTGTGCTGGATGCCGTGGCTTTTCTCACCTCAGGTGCTCTAACAACTATTTTTTTTAGCAAGGCTTGAGCCAGGCTTCAGCAGCACCTTTTTGAAACTGTAACAGAAGCAGCTGAAATGGGTCAACAAGTATTCCAAGGACAGCAGAGACCAAAGACCTCCAATGCAAAGTAATCAAACTTTTTAACATCAGATTTAAAAAAATGGGGGGGGGTTGGTATACTTTTGGTGGGTTTGCTGGTAGTTTTTGGATTGGTTTTAAGGGAGATTTGAATTTGTTGAAAAAGAGGAAAACCCATCAAACTGACAAGATGGGATTATTTAAGAAAAGTTTGATGGATGCTCTCAAATACCTTTTCCAATGATACACAACTTGCCATTCAATAGTTTTGGACAATATTTTGTAAAAGTAAAGGCTCATTCAGCTCTCATAAAGTCTGAAATTCAGGTGCCTACATCTAAACTGGATATCCATAGTCTAGTTATAGTACCCAGCTGAGAAGGCTGTTCAGCTTACCCTAAAGCAAACGTTGCCTAGCTGGTGAGTTAAGTAAGATGTTCTCCTCTGACTACAGTGGAAGTTTGGTTCCATCTGTCACTCAGCCACACAACTTTTGTAGGGCAGATTAAAAGGAAGAAAACCCCAAAGTATTGCTTGAAAGAGCACCTGAAGAGCACTTAAACTGAGGTAAAAAAGCATTTACACGTGAGAACTGACCTTAGGAGGTAGCCAAAAACTCTACAGCCATACCTCTCAAATACTGTACAATTTAGTCTGTACGCAAACATAAAGGCAATTGTTATATCTTGTCTGAGCAACTTTTTACAGTGTCAGCACGCTGGCAGGGAGAGCAGAAAGAAATCTGAAGTTGATCATGAATCAAGACATAGCTTAGTCATACTGGATTCCTCAGCTGAAAAAACAAAGCAAAACTAAACCAAAGACCTCAGCTTAGTCCTCTCAAAGGAGAGCTGCTTCCCATCCTCCAGTATAATGCATCTGGATAAGGAAAGCACAGACAACATTCCTACTTTGGATTTGCTAGCTCAGGCTGGCTGTAACCACTGTTCAGATTAAACAGCCACCTGGACCCAGCCTCTGCTCAGAAAAGCAGATGCAGAACACTCTGCCACAGGAGGGCGTCAACATTCATTGCTATAAAATACATTTGTGTCAGGGACACAGGAAGCCAGCTACTGGTTTATAAAGTATATGTCCATCTGCTATTTGGAAATAATAAATTGAACATAAAAAAAATCACTAAACTAAACTGATATACATGGGCTTGGAGCCTATGCAAAGCAATATAAACAAATACTTCCATTCTCTGAGAAATGGATTGCTAGTAGCCTGCCATGAACCTGTATTTCATTCTCTAACAATATTAAAAGGTTCAGAAACTGTAATCAGAAAGATAGAGGCGAGTATTGCATAAATAAGGAAGGACTAGCAGGAATAATTTTTAAAACTGCATCAGTACAAATCAAAACAAGCATCTGTTTAGAGTATTACTGAATTATCATTGAAACCTGCAATAAAAAGCTGGGTCATAAG